AATTGTTTTTCCATCGGTTATAATGATATTACCATCAAGGATAAAAATCACAACGTACACACAGTGGACGTCCACTGAGAAAAAAAAAAATAAATAATCAAGTAAAAATTACTGTGCTCAATTGGTAATCTGGGACTATTTAGTCGTCCAGAGATTTATTACTGTTTGAACAGTAATTATTTTACTACTTGGAGCAGTAATTTTTGTCGCGGGTAAGTACAGTGATTTTAACTGTTTGCGTACTGGTTGAAACGGTAAAAATTCGGTAACCAAAAGTAAAAAAAAAAAAAAAAAATATCCTTAAATGACTATGGCGAAAACAAGTCACAGCTGCAGGGGAGGAAACGCCATCGTTGAGATATTATGTATAGGTAGAGAGCCGGAACTGCAGAGGATGGGCGCGGTAAAATCGTCCGAGTAACGAGCCATCCAGGGCATACGCGGCAAGGGAAGGCCGGGCTTCGCCGTATCGAGTGTCAATCGAGTAGCAGTGAGGAACAAGAGGCCGACGGGGTGGCAAGTGTCGCGCGAGGTCGCGTGGCCGTCGTGCTCCCAAAGCGAGGGACAAGAGGGGGGTGGGTGGGATATGGGAGCCTCTCGCTCGCGTTATTGAAGAAAAAAAAAAAAAAAAAAAAAAAAAAAAAAAAAAAAAAAAAAAAAAAAAAAAAAAANAAAAAAAAAAAAGAAAAAAAAAAAAAAAAAAAAAAAAAAATTGCCTGGTTCAATAGAAAAGGCAATGTTATAGTTTACGAAGAATCGATTCCGTTGTTCTTCAAATGTTTGTCAACACTACTTACTGGACGTAATGAATTTTATAAAAAATTAAAAAAAAGAACTGATTTCAACTACCGTGCATTTTAAACGTGTACTTAACCACATCACTTGGGTTAACATTGTACTACACGGCAATCAAATAAAATACACCGTAAACCTATTTAATATTGAATTGGCAACATAATATATCAACACGATATTACATATAATATACCGTACGAAGAATTACTATCAAAACATTTACGCTACCTCTCGATAGTCGCATCGGCTTGTGGAATTTTTTCCTCTTCGAGCTTCGATAATACCGATTTGGCGAATAAACAATAGCGAATTTACGCGTAAATTTTCCCCATTTCCAGTGATTTTCCACGATCGACTGTCTACCCCACGTCCACGCGATCGAACGAAACCGACTCCGGTGTATCATATACGAGATGATGTTTGTACACACGAGCGATGGAAGACACAGGTAAAACGACTCCCATGTATTTATAATCCACTTACGCTTACCTGTGCATTTGCAAACACGTGATCCGTGTCGCGTTGACACCTTGTGCCAACAAACTTGAATTACATATACGTATACAATACACTTGGTTTCGAAATACTGGGGATTAAATAAAAAAAAAAAAAAAAACGCCTGTCCTCGCGATTGGCGACCGTTTGTTCATAAGCATACGTATACATGTAACTTTTTCAAAGTCATCGGATACTACGTACGCTTTGACGTACAAGTTTTTCCACCAAGAAAAAAAAGAAAAAAAAAAAAAAAACCTTACGGGTGTACAGGACGTTCCGCCTGTCATACAGGATCATGTACGGAGAAGGACTTTGGAGCTTGGAGCACACGTGTATACATGTATTCACCGAAATGCAAGCGAAGGGAGTGGGGATTGGAAGCGTGGAAAAAAAAGGAGGGACCTGACCGCGATTTCAAAAGATTCCCTCCACACACGCGTATGTATAGACATATATATGTAAAAGCTAGCTTCTCGGGGTTGTCTAGTCGCACGCCGCAGCAGCGCCAGCGGCACGCAGCTGTGCAGCTTTCCACGCACACTCCCGCTCACGAAACCTTTGAGTCTTTCTTTTTACTATTTCTTTTCTTTTTTTTTTTTTTTCTTTTTTTTTTTACTTCTATAGCTTCACACATATGGAGCATAGACGTACGGACTTAGATCCCGCGATTGTAGGCATATAATATATGCGACTTGCGTTTCCTGCCGCTACTACCTACACGATTTTATTTTATACCTTCATATTGGTCGGATAGATATACACACCTATTATGTAGATAGTGACACGAACGTGCAGATGCTACACGTACAAGGTACGACGCCGAGGCTAGACCGTCTCTATGGTCCTCATTACCATTTTACCCGTAATATCAGCTCCTGTGTCTATTTTACTCTCTCACGTGTATTATAGTCCCCGCCTGTGTGGCCATTTTTCGGGCTTCCTCTTTCTTTCCACCAAAGACAATGAGCGCCGTACAATGGCTCGCTTAAACGATTCACCCCCCCCCCCTGTCCGTGCAGCCAGATCAATTAAACATTACAATGCATCCCTCGTTGAGATTCGGCTCGTTTTAACAAAAATCTTTCATCGCCCGAGAGTGATTGATGTGCCTCGCGACAGTATAAATATTACAACGTGAATAAAAAAAATTAAAAAAAAGAAAAAATTGCTATTGGCAGCCGGAGTATAAAGTGCGAGTTTTTCAATGTTTCCCGATGTAGGTAAAGTTTAGGTGTACCCACATGTATAGGTATATAACTGTGAAGATAGATTATTGGGGATATGGGTGCATCTAGGAGTGCACCGTCATGTAGTGTCGAGGGGGGGGGGGAGAGGATGCATCATCCGTGCCGAATAATGTGCACCACAGAGGGAGCGCAGATGCTGCACTTACGGATAGAGACTGGCTGGCTGGCGAACTCATTCCTCGAGCCGATGCCCTTGGTATTTATCGTCCCGAGTAGCAATAAATCACGGGAGTCTTTTTGCGCCCAGGTGTACTCCCTCAATCGCCTCGATTTATTTATATTTACGGTACCCGGCACACCTCGCGCGCCCCCATTGCCAACTGCACTCCTTCGGGTATGACACCTATACGCAGATTTTCGTGCGCATGTATTATCTTTTCCTCGATTTTCACGGAAATGCGCACGAGAGCGCACAAGGTGTATCCTCCTCGTCCCGATAAAAACGAGCGTGTCCCATCATCCTCCGCTGGACCGTGTGCGCTGCGTCGAGGCTCGGGTTATATTTACGACCACCGCCCGAAAAATTGACGCCTTTCGGTTGTACGGCAGCACGCGGGTGTATACATACATACATACTATATATACACGTGATGCGTATTTACGGCCAACAGCCGGTGTTTTCATTGTACGCCCATGTCTCCCCGGGCACGGTTGGCACGTCGCATGGTTATGGTTATATTATTGCCGTTGTGACCTTTTATAAACGGTAATAAAGGCATAAAAGTAGGCCGAGCAATGTTTCGGGGTGTCTATGTGTGTATATGTGTATGTAGGTACGGTCGCCCTGCTTTCTCGTGCGGCCGCAGAGGACAAAGCGACGTTTTCGCGAAATTCCGGCTAAACTCCTGGGACCGGTCGGAGCGGGTATAACGCCAACGGTGCGAAAAATAAATCTGCCAAAAAGCCGGTGAGGGGCGAAAGCCTCGGATACGCAAAGTATTTTCCCAGGGAGGGACGATTTTCCCGTGACAACCGGAAACGTTTGCCTTTTACGATGCTTATACCTCGAGGCTTGCTTGCACCCATTATATATTATATACCGTTGCACGTGTTGTACTACGCTTATGCATGTAGAGTCCCTCAACCCTGTGCGACGATTTTTCACGCGATTTCGTTATTTATAGGCTAATAAAAAAAAAAAAAAAAAAAAAGTAGAAGAGGGGGAAAAAAAACCCTTTTTGAGAAACGTCAACCCCTTGGCGAGTCGGGAGATCCGCCGCAGATGGGAAACTTGTGAAATCTTTGAGGATAATATATAAGCGCTTATATAACTTTCGACTCATAATTTTTGCGTGTGGATACATATATTATATTGTACGAGGATTCCGATGAGACGCGTATAAATTTTTTTTATCTTTGTTTCCTCGCACCTGTGGCAGGAAGTTTTGCATCTGGGGAAAACGAAGTTTTCCCGAGTACGTGTGCCGAAGTTGGTTCGAGGGGCTGATGTCGAGTTGCGGCTCAGCGATAAGCTTCGTTTTCTAATTTATGTTGAATCCCGGCTGGACTTTTCTTATCTACTGTCGAATTGCGGTTACTGTTATTATTTACGTATTTATTTATATTACATCGACATACAATAATATTGTCAGTCAATTTTGCGTTAACTGAGCCAGAAAGAAGACGCATATATTCACCAGTCATCTATTAATTCTTTCTTTTCATTTAATTGTTGTTTTTAAAAAAATGGAGTTCCGTATAAGTGAGAAGGGACGAAATCTTGTATAGTATGTTAATAAATACACTTATAGATTCAAAACATTTTTGTGCAACGAAGTTCAGCGTTGGGTTTGTACTCAAAAAAATTGCAAAAGTTTTTTAAATATTAACTCACCTTTTATAGTACTCCGAAATTTTTCAAGCAATTATTCATCGTGCATGGTCATCAAAATAATGTTTATGTCCCATTAGCCTTTTTTGTACTTCCTGACAAAAGTACTTCTTCGTACGAACAAGTTTTTAATATATTTTAAACACACCATTTTGAGAACTGCCAGTCCGAAGCCTGGGTAAAGTTTGACAGAAAAATGTCGTTATATATCAATTGGTAATTGGAACGTTACTCAGCCGCAATTCGACAGTAGATAAGAAAAGGCCCAGTCGCAATTCGACATACGAAGCTTATCGCTGAGCCGCAACTCGACAACTTTTCTCTTTTCAGTCGCAATTCGACATTTGCGGTTTGAGGTGTTGAAGGGTCGATGTACCCCCGAGATCACGTCTCAATGGCACGATAAATCACGCTTTCGAATCCCGTAAGCCGATTTTGATCGTTCGGTTGCTCAAAATTTGTGCCCTCGCTTTATTTGTTACGGCGGCACACATCACGTATAATTTCGTACTTCCACTTCCTACTTTGGCTTTCTCTCGTTCGGGGAACAGTTTAGAGGTAACTTTGCCGCACTAACGCAAATGGAATGTTGCGACGAGATGATGTATAAACATGTTTTTCTTGCCCTAATGCCACAGCCTCGGCCACAGCTGGAAGAGTGTACCTTATCCTACGTGACTTTTCCGGAAATGCTCGACCGGGCCATGTGTTTCAAGTACACGGAAAATTATGTTTCTGTAAGGTCTCAATGAGCATCATCGCTTAAATTCTTGAGCAACGTGTGTGTTTGCATGTGGCATACTAAATTTTTTTTTGTTATAAAATTGTTGCTCATACGTAGAGGTAAAAATACCGCAACTTTTTTATACAAATATAAATCACTGATTTCTTTACATGACAATAAAGATGAAGTAAAAAAAAAGNAAAAAAAAAAAAAAAAAAAAAAAAAAAAAAAAAAAAAAGTCGAGCCGAAACAGAGCTCGCGGAGGTCAAAGCTGCGATACATGTGAGTATACTCTTCTTTGCGGGGATGAAAAAAAAAAGGTACGACGTCGTCCTATGCAGGGAAAAAAAAGAAAGCGTCAACGCGGATGAGGAGGAGAAAAGAGGAGAGGGAAGCCAGGCGTCGAAGCAGCTGCCGGGGCCTATACGCGCGCACACACACACACTCTGATTGTTTGGGCCGATCGTGCGCCTGGCTTTGCGAATTTCGTGACACCTGGCTCTCCTCCGCAGAGGGACACGCCACCCCCACCCGGAAAAACTCGAGGGAAAAGCTGGGTGGGGTGATTAGATAAGACCGATGGCATCCACGCCCCGGACACTTTGGGCCCATCGGTCCTCCTCAAGGAGCTCTCGTGTTTCTTCTTTCTTTTTTTTCTCTTCTCCTCTTTTTCGAGCCTCTGTGTAAAGCGCACACCTGGACTGGGCTCTTTTTTTTTTTTTTTTTTTTTTTTTTTCTTCTTCAAGTACTTGTTTTCGACAACACCCGAGCAGATTGGCGAGAGACGCCAGCTTCGACAGTGGGAATCCGTGCACTGGCTACTCGTGTGTAATACAAAGTAGGTGTAGGTAACCCACGGAATTTTGGCTGATCGCATTCCCGATCGATCGAGGGGAGGGTACCTACGTATGTACTTTTTGATACCGACCAAGAGATTGGGGTGCGTCGTGTGTATACTGCTTCACGGGAGTCCATCAAACGTATACCTACGTGTAAGGTACAAACGATGACTCCCTTTCGTGTAAAACTTCCCCTTTTTTTTCCGGTGACTGTAACCCCGATGGGTGGAGCAATATTCAGCCATCACCAGCCGTCCGAACAAGTGACTGCAACAATGCGTATACCTTTAAATGTACAAGCGATGCAAGTACATACGTAGACTTTCTTTTCTCGCGTCCAATTTCGTTTTTATGCTAATTCAACAGGTTTTTTTTTTTTTTTTTCTTTATATTTTAATCCTATTTGCCGAGCGGTTTTATCATACTTGCAAATATCTTCCGCGCGCGCGCGTTAGCGTGATGAAAAAAATTGAATAATCAGGATGCGCTGTACAGTTGTACATCACGTTTTTCCCTGCACCTATGGGAGAGGAAATAAAAAAAGCGCGCGCGTACTATTTCGCGCGATGCATGCACGAGCGAACAGTTGGAAATTTTCTACAAGCATTGCTCAGAATAAGTGTACTTTTTAATTTAAAATAATCAATTTTATATGAAATATGTATGTACGTATGTAAAATTTTGTGTAAAGGATTAGGGGTGAGTGATCCTGTACACTGCATATGATTTCACCCTGTCCATGTTATCGGAGGTCTGTGGAAATGGATAATTGAGAAAAGTACATAATTGTCTGAACAAGTATCTCAAAGATAT